CCCACATTCCTATTCCACTGACATAGTATTGCTTGCAATTACAGTTGATATTAATCAGCATTATTTGTTTTAGTCAATAGAATCTACTCTAGCATGTTTTAATTTATTATAGAATATTGTCTTAAGAATTTCCAAGAAATTTTGGGTGATAATGCAGCCAGGAGAAACACAGAGCCTCGCCATGGATGATCCCAATGGAAACCCCACTTCTACCACTACCTTTTGTAGACATGTATGAGGCTGGGAACAAGACAGTAGGAAGGAACTCCAACATAGCTTTCTCCAAAGGAATCAAATGCTTCCACCACATGTCACGTATGACCACTTCTCACATAGCTTATGTATAGCATCAAATCCAGTGCAGGTTTATTTACTTGGGTGAATTAACTAGTCTGGGATTTTGTTTTAGCTTTCCATCCTCACTTCTATGTGAAAGCATGCTAGAAGGGGATGCAATGGATATTAAATGACCCAATTTTTATTCCTTCAATAATCAGAAACACTCTTTGCCCAGTAAATATACTCCTAAGAGCCCATCTCATGGAAACAAAGGCACTGATATGTAAGGACCTATGTAATGGTGTCTATCACAGATGCTTTTGTAGCAGCAAAAATCCATAAACAAACTGAAGGCCCAAAACTAAGACCATGGTTGAATTAATTACAGTCCATGCACGTCTCTGAATACTATTATTAAAAAGAAAGGGGAGACTTCCGGTCAAGATGGAGGCGTAGGTAAACGCGGTATCCGTCCTTCCACAACCACATTCCAATTACAACTAAACTACAGAACAACCATTATTCAAAACTGCCTAAAATCAAGCTGAGTGGAGTCCTACAACTACAAAATTAAAGAAGAAGCCACATAGAGACTGGTAGGAGGGAGCGGAGGCGTGACTAGCTGGTCCCACACCACGTGTGGTGAATACAAATTAGAAGGATACCTCGGCTGGGAAGGTCCTCCCTGAGGACTGAGGGGTTCCCGTCCCACACCATGCACCCTGCTCAGGGTTCCAGTGCCAGGAAGAGAAGTCCCCATAACTTCTGGCTGGAAAAACCAGCGGGAACAGAGGTTGAGGAGGCTGAGGCTGCTTGCTGAAGCCCCAGGCAGCTCCTCTGAAAGGGCCAGCCCACGGACTTACTCAGACTCACTCCCTCCAGGCTCCAGCGTGGGGGAGGCAGCTCGAAAGGTACCAGAGACATACAGGGGAAGAACTGAGTTGTTTGGCATTGGGGCAAGGGCTGGAGAGGGGGCTTTCTCCTGGACAGATGTGCGGTCAGAGGCCTTTGTTCCTTTGGTGAGCCCTTCCTCAACAGGGCAGGCAGCCGCTATATCTGGGACTCCAGCAATCTGGCTCACACTATTTGCCCCACCCTGGTGATTCCCTGAGGCCCTGCCCCACCCAACTTTCAGGCCCACCCAAGCTGGTGCCAGTTGGTTAACTATAGGATTGGCCTGTCTTGGATCCTGCTTCAGATTTTCCTAAATTCTTTGAAACAAGCAGCATCTGGCCTCAGCTAGCCCCACACCTCTGGTTAAGTAGTAAATGGAAACAAACACAGGGAGGCAGCCAAAACGAGACAAAGAAACAGGTCCCAAATGAAAGAACAGAACAAAACCCCAGGGAAAGAACTAAATGAAATGGAGATAAGCAACCTTTAAAATACTGCTTATAAGGATGCTCAGTGAACTTAGAACCTCAGTGAACTTAGTGAGAGCCTCAAGAGCATAAAAAAGGACCAGTCAGAAATGAAGGAGGCACTAACTGAAATAAAGAATAATTTACACAGATTCAATAGTAGAGTAGGTAAAGCCAAAAAGCAAACCATCAATTTGGAATATAAGGATGCAAAAAACACCCAATCAGAACAGCAAAAAGAAAAAAGAATCCAAAAAAATGAGGATGGTGTAAGGAGCCTCTGGGACAACTTCAAGCATGCCAACATTCGCATCTTGGGGGTTCCGGGTGCCAGAAGGAGAAGAGAGAGAACAAGAAATTGAAAACCTATTTGAAACAACAATGGCAGCCCTGGCCGGTGTGGCTTAGCGGTTGGAGCTTAGGCCTGCAGACCAGAGAGTCCCGGTTCAGTTCCCGCTAGGGGCACGTACCAAATAAAATAAAATAAAAGAAAAGAAAAGAAAAGAAAAGAAACAACAATGGCAGAAAACTTCCCTAACTTAGTGAAGGAAACAGACATACAAGTCCAGGAAGCACAGAAAGTCCCAAACAAGATGAAGCCCAAGAGGCCCACACCAAGACACATCATCATCAAAATGCAAAAGGTTCAAGACAAAGAGAGAATCTTAAAAGCTGCAAGAGAAAAGCAGTTAGTTACCTACAAGGGAGTTCCCATTAGACTGTCAGGTGATTTCTCAAAAGAAACTGCAGGCCAGAAGGGAGTGACAAGAAATATTCAGAGTGATGAAAAGCAAGAACCTACAACCAAGATTATTCTGTTCTGCAAAGCTGTCATTTAGAATCGATGGCCATTTGAAGAGTTTCCCAGACAAGGAAAAGCTAAAGGAGTTGATCACCACCAAACCATTATTATATGAAGTGTTGAAGGATCTTCTTGAAGAAAAAGATAAAAATATGAACAAACAAAATGGCATTGAATACATATCTATCGACAATGGGATCTACAAACAAAATGAGCAAGCAGAACAGAAACATTCTTATAGATATAGAGAACATTTTGTTGGTTGCCAGATGGGAGGGGGGATGGGGGAATGGGTGAAAAAGGTGAAGGGATTAAGAAGTACAAATTGGTTGCTAGACTGACAAACCTCAAAGGGGGGGGGGGTTGGAGGGTGGGAAGAAATAAAACAAAGAACTTATATGCATATATGCAAAACCAATGGCCACAGACAATAGTGTGGGAAAAGGCAGGAGGCAGGCGGGAGTGGGGAGGAAGAGGTCAATGAGGGACAAATGAGGAACATCTGTAATACATTCAACAATAAAGATAAGAAAGAAAGAAAGAAAGAGAGAGAGAGAGAGAGAGAGAGAGAGAAAGAAAGAAAGAAAGAAAGAAAGAAAGAAAGAAAGAAAGAAAGAAAGAAAGAAAGAGTTCTATGAGGTGTGTGTTTTGGAGAAATTTCCTCTGGTTGTTTTGACTAAAAAAAAACAAGATGAAGGAAAATGTATATGCAATCTTGTTTTTGTTTAAAATATTAAAAGAAAACCATATACATATAATGTATATATGTATATGATTATATAAACATAACAAAAACTATAGAAAAAGACATGCTAGGTTTAGAACTTAGGTTATCTGAGGAGATATGGGGTGATATATGTGTGAGGGATGGGAGGACTATACCAAGGTGGAAAGAAGAAAAGGAAGAAGACTACATTTGAAAATTGCATGATGGATTCTGGGAAGGTGGCAGTGGCAGCATCAGCATAGTTTTTCAATCTCTACAAATATCGACATAACACCAGCAGAACAATTAGAGAGCAAAACCAAAGCACGTTATATTTACAAGGGTTGCCCACTTTAACAAACAAAAATACAGGATTCCCAGATAAATTTGAATTTTAAATAAACAATGAATAATTTTTTAGTATAAGCATGTCCCAAATATTGCATGGAATAGAAAGGCTAGACCTAAATGGAAGAGGAGAACAGTGCCAGAAACGCCAGAAAGTAAACCACCATATTTTCAAACACTACACAAAAACAACAGAAGAGGGAGCTCTGTGAAATTAGAAAAGCTTTCCTGAACTCAATCCTATTTCTAAGTCCTAAAAAAACTAATTTTACACAAAACTAAGAAACTCAATAATATTAGGGTCAAATCCCACACAAAATTATTATAAGAAAAAATAAAAGAATAAGAATAATATCTCAAAAGACAATGAAAGCATGCCAAAAAGACAGATAAAAATTGTAACCTACCATTTCAAAATGAGTATCAGTAAAGAAAGAAAAATAGAAAACAGAAAAAAAAATGTAAAGCAGAATTGGAAAAACTCAGAAATGAGGTGACAGTAAACTAGAAAGAGTTCAAGAGCAAGTAAATGCAACAGGTAATACCTGAAGAGAAATAGAAAGCGAAAAGAGGAAAGTGTTTTAAATCAAAAAGAAATGAGAGGAAAAAAATAAAGGAGGTCAAACATACAGGTAATAGGAATTCCTAAAGGAGAAAACCAAATCAAGGGCATGGAATAAATGCTATATTCTATAAATTAAAAATGAAACAAAACAATACTAAAAATTTTCCTGAAAATGAAAAAGATTTGAAACTGGCCCTGGCCGGTTTGGCTCAATGGTTAGAGGGTCTGCCCATGGACCAAAGAGTATCCTCCAGTGAGGATTAAAAAAAAAAAAAAAACTGCACATGGAAAAAACATACCACATAGCTGATATCACTGACCCAGAACAACCAAAACTACACATAGTCTATTAAAATAATTGGACTCTAGGAAAGAGTATGTGATTTTTAAGGAAAACAAATCAGATTGTCATTGGAATTTTTTACAATAATGCTTTATGCCAGAAAAAAAAAAAACAAGGAGTGATATAAGATACTCAAAGAAAGTATGAAACAAAGATTTTATATCTCTCAAAATTAACTTTCAGAAATAAAGCACACAAACTATTACCAGCAGAAATTGGTCATCTTCAGAAGATCATGGGGAACAAAGCCACAGAATATTGTTCTCATGAGCCCTTCCTGAAAAATATATCAGAGAAAAAGCTTCAGACCACCAAATAACTAGAAAAACATTGATACAAGGATCGGTGTTGAGCATTCAACGTATAATTAATTACCTGTAAAGCTATGAATAAATGAGAGCTAAGAGATAGAATATTATATGTAATAGTTACATACTCCAATAGTGTAAATGTGGTACAACTATCTCCTTTATTTTTGCTTTTTTAAAATGGCTTTACTGAGATATAATTCACAGGCCTATTTATTTAATAATAGTTCACCTATTTATTTATTCATTCATTCATTCATTTACTTATTCATTCATTCAGCCAGTCAGTCTCTGTAGAGACCATCAAAAATTGCCGATGCCGACTATTTCAAGTCATCACGTCAGGGTATTGGGAAAAGTTTTCAATTAGCAATAATTGTACCTCAGATAAACCTCATTGGCTACAATACTGCCACTGTGCAAAGCCATAAGGTTCACTCATTTAAAGTATGCAATTTAATGGCTTTTTGAATATTTACAGAGTTGTGCATCCATCACCACAGTGAAATTTAGAAGGCAGTTAAAAAACAGAAGAGGTTAAGTAAAAGTTCCATAGTCTCATTGGAATTATAAATATTAATATGAACTCATGAACTATCTATCGGTCTACTGCAAAAGCTTAAAGACAATGAGCAGCTATGCAGCAATGAGCATCCCCTAGTACTCAGACTGTGGTCTTGAAACATAATTTCTAACTTAAAAAAAATCAGGACTTTTGAAGAAATGGCTGATTCCAAGTATGGAGCAAAAAATGTATGGGATAAACCTGTAGCATCTTATAATACCAGACTACAAGGATTATGTCGAAAGGACACAGGAGCCAACTTGAGGAGGCTCCCACTACCATAGAACCTTTTGAGTTTCAATAAAGATAATAAAAATAAATAAATAAAAGAAAAATACAGATAATAATTATAGTGGCTTAAAACTTATAAAATATGTCTAAATTTAAGAGTTCATAATGAGCCCTGGCCAGTTTGGCTCAGCGGTTGGAGCGTCGGCCTGCGGTCCGGAGAGACCCGGGTTCGGTTCCCGCTAAGGGCATGTACCTCGGTTGCAGTTTGTCCCCGGCCCTGGTTGGTCGTGCGGGTGGCAGCCACTCGATGTGTCCCTTTCACATCGATGTTTCTCTCTCTCTCTCTCTCTCTCTCCCTCCCACTCTATCTGTACAAAAAATGGAAAAATGTCCTCGGGTGAGGATTAAAAAAAAATAATAATAAAATAAAATAAAATAGAATCAATGGCCATGTGAAGAGTTTCCCAGACAACAAAAAGCTAAAGGAGTTCATCACCACCAAACCATTATTATATGAAGTGTTGAAGGGTCTTCTTGAAGAAAAAGAAGATAAAAAATATGTGCCATATAATACTTACAGTTTTGCCAAAGAGATCAAAGTTGTATCTGATCTACCAGAAGACAGAGGAACACACTGAACTGCACCAAGAGTACTCAAATAAAAAAATCCAGACTTTGGAAGAGTTTACAGGTCAGAAGTCCAGTACACAAAAGAAAGGATGGAGGAACCTACAGATTAAAAGATAATTACAGAATATATTTTTTAAATGTGAAAGATTAAATTATAGTGTCTAATAATGAATGTGACAAAACTGTTTTTTAAAATTTATGAAAGTGGTCCCTATAAAAGCCAGGATGGTGATTACTTATGGGAGGAGGGTGTGTGTGAATGGAAGGGGCTTCTTGACTGACTGGCAAAGTTCTGTATTTTTTTAATCTGGTTGGCACTAATCTTAAAACAATTCATTAAGCCAACTGTTTTATTTGTGTGGTATTCTGCAGTGGTGGTTTTTGTTACAGTAAAAATATATATTTCAAAAAAACAGCCCTGTCTGGTTTGGCTTAGCGGGCCCTGGCCAGTTTGGCTCAGCGGTTAGAGCGTCGGCCTGCGGTCCGGAGAGACCTGGGTTCGGTTCCCGCTAAGGGCACGTGCTTCGGTTGCAGTTTGTCCCCGGCCCTGGTTGGTCGTGCGGGTGGCGGCCACTCGATGTGTCCCTTCACATCGATGTTTCTGTCTCTCTCTCCCTTCCTCTCTCTCCCTCCCACTCTATCTGAACAAAAAATGGAAAAATATCCTCGGGTGAGGATAAAAAAACAAACAAACAAACAAACACTTTCAATACTTTAGTTGCACTCCAGACTAATTAAATCAAGTTCTCTGGAGGTGAGATCCAGGCATCTGTATTCTTTAAAGCTCCCCGGTGATTCTAAAATGAAGCCAAGTTTGAAAACCAGTGTATAAGAGGAATGATATTCCACTGTGCTCAGTATCAAGAGCTTGGGTTATAGTCTTCACTTAGCCACCCAAGACAGCTGCATGACTTGAAGCAAGGATTTTAACCTCTGGACCACAGTGGCCAATGTTACATGGTGAAACAATTCACTTACCCAAAACTGGGATTGGAAAGGTTGGTCTTTAAAGTCCCTATGAATTCTAGAGCCTGATACTCTAAATAAAAGAAATAGAAATTGTATTAGAATGATTTAATTGTATAAAACTTTTAACAGTTGTATATATGATCTGAGCACATGCATTCATATGAAAAATGTGTGTGTGTGTGTGAGAGAGAGAGAGAGAGAGAGAGAGAGAGAGAGAGAGAGAGAGATTCAGAGTCTGGCATGAAAAAGAATTCACCATATATGGTTTAGTGAAGGGATTTAATGGAAAAGCTATATACAAAGGTGTGGGTAGGATTACAGTACTAATAGACCCACAACAGTGAAAAGTTATTTCATCTCCCCTGAAAAACAAGCAGAAGAAATGTGTAACTGGAGCCCAGCAAGAACCGGAGATCTGGAGGAGCCACCCAACAGGAGCTATAGTTGTAAAAGGACACCCATTTACACTGGACCTACTCATTTGTATGGCTATGTAGATAGATGCCTATACCCCAGTGCATTCATCCATTCTACCTTTGATGGATAGTTGGGTTGTTTCCAGATTTTTGTCCTCATAAATAATGTTGCTAAAATATTCTTGGACCTGCTTCTTGGTGAACATTTACACATTTTTGTTGGGTATATACATAGAGTGGTATTGCTGGGTCATAGCATGTATGTATCTTCAGCATAGACTGCCACTGTTTTTTCATAGTGCATGTACCAATTTATATTCTCACTAATAGTACATAAGAATTCCTCTTAAAAGGAGAAATATCCAGCCCTGGCTGGTTTGGCTCAGCGGTTAGAGCGTCGGCCTGCGGTCCAGAGAGACCCAGGTTCGGTTCCCGCTAAGGGCATGTACTTCGGTTGCAGTTTGTCCCCGGCCCTGGTTGGTCATGCGAGTGGCAGCCACTCGATGTGTCCCTTTCACGTCGATGTTTCTCTCTCTCTCTCTTCCTCTCTCTCCCTCCCACTCTATCTGTACAAAAAAATGGAAAAATGTCCTCGGGTGAGGATAAAAAAAAAAAAGGAGAAATATCTGTAACAAAAATAATTTAATTAATTAACTAATTAATTTTTTAAAAATTCCTCTAGCTACATAGTCTCATCAACACTTGCTGAAAAAGACAGAGTGGGGGAAAGGACCTACACAATCAGGTATAAACATTTATTATAAAACTATAGTAACTGAAACAGTGTGGTCTGGGTGAAAAGATAGATAAAAAACCAATAGAGAAGAATAAAGGCCATAAACAGTGCCACACATGTATGGATACTGAATTAATCACAAAAGTAGCATTGCAGAGCAACACAAAAAAGATAGTCTTTTTAGTGGATGGTATTGAGTCCACTGAATTTACCTACCCCAAAAACGAAACTTGACTCCATCTCCCACCATATCCAGGAATTCTTTCCAGGAGGATTGCAGATCTAAATATGAAAAGTAAAATAAAGATTTAGAAGAAAGCATGGGAGAATTTCTTCACGACCTTGGGGTAGGGTAAAATTTTCTTGAACAGGACACAAAAGCACTTAGCTAAGAAAGATTAATAAACTGGATTCCAGCCCTGGCCACTTTGGCTCAGTGGTTAGAGCGTCGGCCCGCGGACCAGAGAGACCCGGGTTCGGTTCCCGCTAAGGGCATGTACCTGGGCTGCAGTTTTGTCCCCGGCCCGGTTGGGGTCATGTGGGTGGCGACCAGTCAATGTGTCTCTCTCACATCGATGTATCTCTCTCTCTCTTCCTCCCTCTCTCCCTCCTGCTCTATCTGAAGATAAATACAAAAATGTCCTTGGGTGAGGATAAAAAATAAATAAATAAACTGGATTCCATTAAGATGAGGGACTGTCATTCACTAAAGAACACCATAAAAAGTACAGTAGTACATAAGCCACATACTGGCAAAGATATTTGTAGCACATTGTCTTAGTTCAGACTGCAATAACAAAAATGCCATGGACTAGGTGTCTCAAACAATAAACATTTATTTCTTACAGTTATGGAGAGTAGGAAGTCCATGATCAAAGTACCTGCAGATTCAATGTGAGAGCCTATTTTCTGGTTCATACTATCTTCTCACTGTTTCCTTACATGGCAGAAGGAGAAAGAGAGCTCTCTGAGGTCTCTTTTTAAAGGGCATTAATCCCATTCACGAAGGCTGCCCTCTCAATACCCTATCACCTCCTGGAGTCCCTACCTCCTAATACCATCACACCAAGGGTTAGGATTTTAACATATGACCTGGTGGGGACAAAAACATTCAGACCATAACACACATATAAATGACAAAGGGTGATACTTCAGATTATAGAAAGATCTCTTAGAATAAAAAATGTAGTAATCCAAAGGAAAACTGATCAATAGACTTGAACAGGCACTCCACAAAAGAGAATATCCAAATCGTCAATAAACACATTAAGGGCACAATCACATGCAAAATACGAGATGTTATCTCACACCCACCAGCATGGCTAAAATTAAAATGACTGACAATATAGTGTTGGAAGGCATAGCAATGAGAACTCTCACATATATAAATTGATACAATCTCTGGAAGTGAAAATAAATTGAAAGTTGAAAATATGCTATGATTCAGCAATTCTACTCCTACTCCTATACTCCAGAAATGTATGCATATGTCTCCAAAAGACATGTAGAAAAATATTCACAATGTTTTTCTTAATAGACAAGAATGGAAACAACCCAAGTGTGCATTAATTAGATCAATCAATAAATTAGAGTATACTGATGCAATGTAATAGTATGCGGCAATGAATGTGAATAAACCAATGCTACACCAACATGAATTAATCTCATACTTACAGTGTTGAGCAAAAGAAGCCATACACAAAATTATGCATATTGTAGGATTCCATGTATATAAAGTGCAAAAACAGACAATAATAATCTATGGTGCTAGATATGAGGATAGTGGTTAAAATTGGGAAAGAGGTAAAGGGTAGTTATTTGGTGGTACACAGAGGGGCTTCTAGGATGCTAGTCTTGTTCTATTTCTTAAACTGAGGGGT